TTTCATCAACTGTGCCTTCTCTCAAGCTAAACGAAATTTCTTTCATCCTAAACCTGCTTCAAACACTAGTAGCACTGTGCTCTGCCTTCCCTTCATATCTGAACTCAAAACTTTTACCAACACCTTTCGTCCTCTTGACATTAAACTCGCCTTTCGACAAACTAACACACTTCGTAGCAATCTAGTTCACACGGCTCCTCCTGTTTCTAATGCTGCTGGTGTCTACTCTATTTCCTGTTCGTCTTGTCCTCTACAATAATTTGGCGAAACTGGCCGTACACTGAATGACAGACTTAAAGAACACAAGAGAAGTGTTAAGTCTGCAGACACTAACAATGCTCTCTTCTGTCATGTGAGGGATTCTAATCATCCCATTGATTGGTCTTCCTCCAAAATAATATTTCCTGTCTCTACTCTACACGTCTTGTCTTGTTAAATCAGCTCTAATACACAATGTACCCAACATGAACTTGAGACCTGGCTTTGTTGCTGTGGACTCTTCCCTTTCACAGTATATACTCTAATCTTTCTAACAAACATGACCTAACACAGCTTACCCTTCCGTTTATTATCTTCTTTTTTTTCTGTTCATTGTTTTCTCTTGCGTTCCTTTGCTATCCTCTTCTTATTCCTATTACTATCTCCTTCTCATTCGTTGGTTACAATAGGAGCTGACTCGTATGGGCCAATATGAGTCCTGCAGTTCTCACACTGCAGTTCTTATTCCTACTACTATCCCCTCTACTACACCTTACTTTGCTCCTCACCTCTCTTGCCTATTTATTACCTGCATCTACTTCGTCATCAGAATCGTCTTGAGAATGGTCCAGGAATGACCGAAACGTCGTCGTCCCTTCACCTTCTAGTGTGTGATCTGGTCAACATACTTTAACCACGTTATTGTGACTCATCGCCTGCATCAAAAGTACAAGCGTACCATCACCATCACAATTTCCAGCTCAGCACTACCATCAAAAGTACCAGTTCACCACTACCATCAAAAGTTCCCTCTCGCCGTTACCATCACAACTACCAGCTTACGACCATCATAACAAGTACCAGCTGACAACTACCATCACAAGAACCAGTTAATCACTACCATCTCAAGTACCAGTTCATCACTACCATCTCAAGTACCAGCTAACCACAACCACCACAAGTACCAGCACACCACCACCATCTCGAACACCAGCTCACCACTGCCATCACAGGTACCACGGTACCACGCCCTTAACACGGAGCGGTACGGGACGGTACGGCGCCGTACATGGCTGTACCGTGCGTCACGTGAAAAAGTCAGTCCTTCACTGTTCACTGGTAATTCCGCAGAATTATGAATACTAGGTTTCCTACACAACACTGAAACCTTCACGAGTTCGTCTCTCACAGGTACCTTCTAACAAAGGCACGACGGATGTCATATTCACACACGAATATAACAGGCCCCCTCAGTTCACTATCACTGGGTGGTATTCAACAATCACACGGGAACGGCGACGATCCCAGTAAGTTCACTACAGTGTTATTTCGCCTACGACCTTCTTCCACGAAACTGGATTCTTACTCAAACGGCTCCGGGATCATGGCACGACGATCGTGAATGACTTTTGCGTCGTTGCAGGCAGTATTTCCAGTGCTTGGCCTAGCACGAAAACCACACAACCTCTCCCAGCCACAGACATGGTAAGAATGACTTCTCACCAAGCTGAGAGGCCCATTTCAAAAGCAAGCACCCCTCAGCTCGAGGCACCAATCACAACCAAGCATCTTCACAGGCTTGGTGCGTCGACCAATCACGTTCTCCCAAGACGACACTCTCTACCTAGCAGGAGGGTTCAATAGTGGTGGTCAGCCAACAACCCTTAACCCCCCAACCCACGTCTCTCCACTTCAACTTGTACAAAAATCCACCTGCAATAAACTCCTCCCAATACCTTTCTCTACAGACTTGCTACAACAACCACAGTAACTTTAATGACTAGCACTCTTCATGGGCTGTCCATAGACACCCAGCATGACTGTGTAAGGGTTGTATTTTTTAAGCATGTGCTCTTGTGCACACCTACTGGCCAAGCAGCACATGGTCAAAGGAGGAGCTAGATAGTAAACGAGAAGGTCTTATAACAACAATGAGAGAGATCATAGTGAGAGCGGATGACGATAGATCACGACTTTATGATAGTCGCCGACTTCAACTTGAAATCCATAGACTGGGAAGCATATGAAGCTATAACAGGAGATTTTTGGACCTGTAAATTTGTAGACCTCGTCCTGGAAACATTCTTGTTTTAACGTGTTAAACAAGCTACGAGGATGAGGGAAGGGGACGTTCCCTCCATGCTAGATTTGATATTTACCAGGAAGGAGGAAGAAATATTTGACATTCAGTACCTTCCTCCCTTGAGTAAAAGTGACCATGTCTTTTTGGGAATAAAGTACGCAATGCGTTATAATCTGGAAGAAAATAAGGAGGTTGATGCAATTGAAAAACCTGACTTCAGGAGAGGACATTATGGCAACCTTAGAAAAAGTTTTAGTGAATATAATTGGACAGACTTGTTGCTAGGCAAGGAAGTGAATGAGATGTATGTCAAGTTTTGTGAAATATATGATAAAGGCACACAAAAATTTATACCAAAACAGAGATGCAGAACTAGGAAACAGGATTGGTTCAACAGAAATTGCGAGAAGGCCAGAGACCAAAAGACACAAAAATGGAATCAATACAGGAAGAGGCCAAACCCCCAAACATAACAGCGATACAAAGATGCAAGAAACAACTACACGGCAGTGAGGAGAGAGGCAGAAAGAAATTTTGAAAAAGGGATTGCAGACAAATGTAAAACAGAACCAGGTCTATTCTATAAATTCATAAACAAAACAACAAATTGCAGGTAAAGGAAAATATTCAGAGGTTGAAAATGGGAAATAGATTCACGGAAAATGAAAATGAAATGTGTGAAACATTAAACGAAAATTTCCAAAGTGTGTTTGTACAAAATGAAATCTTCAGGGAACCAGACACAATAAGAATTCCAAAGAACAGCATAGAGCATATAGAGACGAAGTGGAAAAAATGTTCAAGGAGCTAAATAAGAACAAAGCAGTTGGTCCAGATGGAGTTTCACCATGGGTTCTGAGAGAATTTGCACCTAAGCTCAGCATTCCATTTCAACTGATTTTTCAGGCATCCCTGTTTACAGGAGTTGTAGCTGATGTGTGGAAAAAAGGCTAACATAGTTCCAATCTACAAAAGTGGAAGCAGGGAAGACCCCCTTAATTATAGACCTGTATCATTGACAAGTGTAATAGTCAAAATATTGGAAAAAATAATTAAAACTAAATGGGTAGAACACCTGGAGAGAAATTATATAATATCAGACAGACAGTATGGTTTTCGATCTGGAAGATCCTGTGTATCGAATTTACTCAGTTTCTATGATCGAGCAAAAGAGATATTACAGGAATGAAATGGTTGGGTTGACTGCATCTATCTGGACCTGAAAAAGGCTTTCGACAGTGTTCCACATAAGAGGTTGTTCTGGAAAATATTGGAGGGGTGACAGGTAAGCTTCTAACATATATGAAAAATTTTCTGACTGATAGAAAAATGAGATCAGTGATCAGAGGCAATGAATCGGACTAGAGAAATGTCACAAGTGGAGTACCACAGGGTTCAGTTCTTGCACCAGTGATATTTATTGTCTACATAAATGATCTACCAGTTGGTATACAGAATTATATGAACATGTTCGCTGATGAGGAGAGCCGGTCGGCCGAGCGGACAGCACGCTGGACTTGTGATCCTGTGGTCCTGGGTTCGATCCCAGGCGCCGGCGAGAAACAACGGGCAGAGTTTCTTTCACCCTATGCCCCTGTTACCTAGCAGTAAATAGGTACCTGGGTGTTAGTCAGCTGTCACGGGCTGCTTCCTGGGGGTGGAGGCCTGGTCGAGGACCGGGCCGCGGGGACACTAAAAAAAAGCCCCGAAATCATCTCAAGATCATCTCAAGATGATGCGAAGATAATAGGAAGGATAAGAAACTTAGATGATTGTAATGCCCTTCAAGATGACCTGGACAAAATAAGTATATGGAGCACCACTTGGCAATTGGCATTTAATGTTAATAAATGCCATGTTATGGAATGTGGAATAGGAGAACATAGACCCCACACAACCTATATATTATGTGAGAAATCTTTATAGAATTCTAATAAAGAAAGAGATCTAGGGGTGGTTCTAGATAAAAAACTATCACTTGAGGACCACATAAAGAATATTGTGCGAGGAGCCAGCTATGCCACGCTTTCTTACTTCAGAATTGCTTTAAATACATTGATGGCGATATACTAAAGAAATTGTTGATGACTTTTGTTAGGCCAAAGCTAGAATATGCAGCGGTTGTGTGGTGCCCATATCTTAAGAAGCACATCAACAACCTGGAAAAGGTGCAAAGACATGCTACTAAGTGGCTCCCAGAACTGAAGGGCAAGAGCTACGAGGAGAGGTTAGAGGCATTAAATATGCCAAAACTAGAGGACAGAAGACAAAAGAGGTGATATGATCACTACATACAAAATAGTAACAGGAATTGATAAAATCGATAGGGAAGATTTCATGAGATCTGGAACTTTAAGAACAAGATGTCATAGATTTAAACTAGCAAAACACAGATGCCGAAGATATATAAGAAAATTTACTTTCGCAAACAGAGTGGTAGACGGTTGGAACAAGTTAGGGGAGAAGGTGGTGGAGGCCAAGACCGTCAGTAGTTTCAAAGCGTTATATGACAAAGAGTGCTGGGAAGACGGGACACCACGAGCGTAGCTCTCATCCTGTAACTACACTTAGGTAATTACGCTTAGGTTACACTTAGGTAATTACATACTCCTGTGCATACTTTTCAGTGCATAAGGGAGCTGGAAAAATCCATCTCCTGACACAACCACCACCAGTACCAGTTCACCACTACCAGTAGCATTTGGTAAGTCAGGTACAATTAAGAAGGTTTGATTGCGGAGAATGAAGAGTACCACCACCCGCCACCTTGGTGGTACTGAGCACAGGACTCACCTGTGGAGGGAGACACCACACATGGGTTACAGAGTTTAGTAACATGTCCACATGTTTACACATCTGCACACACATGTACACACACGAAAGAGTGGACCATGCTCGGGAATTGTAGTTCTAAGGGCCCCGAGTTCGATTCCCGGCCGAGGCAGAAATAAATGAACAGAGTTTCTTTCACCTGATGCATCTGTTCACCAAGAATTAAATAGTTGGACAGCTGCTACGGACTGCATCCTGGGGATGTGTGTGTGTTAGAGAGACATATATGTAGCAGATATGATAGAGTAAAATAGGTCGGAAATCAGTACATTAGACAACCGACGGTTAGAAAGGCGGGGCCCAAGAACTAACACCTCAACCCTGCAGACACATGTAAATAAACACACGCGCACGCACACTGGCACTCAAACAATAGCATACACTTACACATAAACACACACAAATAGGTGAGTACACACGCACGCATGCACACTGGCCCTCAAACAATAGCATACACGTTCACATAAACACACACACACACGCACACAGGCACTCAAACAATAGCATACACGTTCACATAAACACACACACACACGCACACAGGCACTCAAACAATAGCATACACGTACACATAAACACACACACACACACACTGGCACTGCAACAATAGCTTACACATAAGCACGCACACAGGCACTCAAACAATAGCATACATGTACACATAAACACACACACACGCACGCACACGCAAGTAGTAGGGAATGCAGTCTAAAGAGGATTGTTTTTTTTTTAAATCCCGTTTAGACTGCAGAGGGTTCCAGGTCAATTGGGCCAGTTCTCGCTGGACTCCAGAGGGTTCCAGGTCAATTGGGCCAGTCCTCGCTGGACTCCAGAGGGTTCCAGGTCAAATGGGCCAGTCCTTGCTGGACTCCAGAGGGTTCCAGGTCAAATGGGCCAGTCCTCGCTGGACTCCAGAGGGTTCCAGGTCAAATGGGCCAGTCCTTGCTGGACTCCAGAGGGTTCCAGGTCAATTGAGCCAGTCCTCGCTGAACTCCAGAGGGTTCCAGGTCAGGTGGGCCAGTCCTTGCTGGACTCCAGAGGGTTCCAGGTCAAATGGGCCAGTCCTCGCTGGACTCCAGAGGGTTCCAGGTCAAATGGGCCAGTCCTTGCTGGACTCCAGAGGGTTCCAGGTCAAATGGGCCAGTCCTCGATGGACTCCAGAGGGTTCCAGGTCAATTGGGCCACCCAGCAAACAATTTTAGGTTGCCACAACATATCTGGAAAGTATTTGAAAGTATTGGAAACGTTTGTTTTATCGTATCAGATACGATATTGTGTGTGGACTTAAATAGGTTTCCAAAACTTATAACCAAGACATATGTATCTAACACTAATTTGAGATGTTGTGGCAACTTTACACTCCTAACATGAGTCATTCATAATCCATTCATATACCAATATGAATCTCTTATGAAAGGTTTGAGCCAATAAACTGAACCCTTTTTACATCTTTGTGTTTAAAGTTAAATTTCTTGAAATTAAATTATATTTTATATTATATTATTTTTATTATATTTTATATTATATTATTATTTTCAATTTAAATATTAAAACCAATTTAAGGGTAAAAAAATCTAATAATTTATATTTCTTTTATTATTTACTAACAATTATAATTATTTACTAACGGAGAGAGGGGAGGCTGTACGGCAGAGAGTGGCGGCTGTGGCGGACAGTGGCGGCGGTGGCGGACAGTGGCGGCGGGCGGACAGTGGCGGCGGCGGGCGGACAGTGGCGGCGGGCGGACAGTAGCGGCGGTGGCGGACAGTGGCGGCGGGCGGACAGTGGCGGCGGTGGCGGACAGTGGCGGCGGTGGCGGACAGTGGCGGCGGTGGCGGACAGTGGCGGCGGGCGGACAGTGGCGGCGGGCGGACAGTGGCGGCGGGCGGACAGTGGCGGCGGGCGGACAGTGGCGGCGGTGGCGGAGAGTGGCGGCGGGCGGACAGTGGCGGCGGGCGGACAGTGGCGGCGGTGGCGGATAGTGGCGGCGGGCGGACAGGGAGGCGGCGGGCGGACAGTGGCGGCGGGAGGACAGTGGCGGCGGGCGGACAGTGGCGGCGGGCGGACAGTGGCGGCGGGCGGACAGAGGCGGCGGGCGGACAGTGGCGTCGGGGGCGGACAGTGGCGGCGGTGGCGGATAGTGGCGGCGGGCGGACAGTGGCGGCGGGCGGACAGTGGCGGCGGTGGCGGATAGTGGCGGCGGGCGGACAGGGCGGCGGCGGGCGGACAGTGGCGGCGGGAGGACAGTGGCGGCGGGCGGACAGTGGCGGATAGTGGCGGCGGGCGGACAGTGGCGGATAGTGGCGGCGGGCGGACCGTGGCGGCGGTGGTGGACAGTGGCGGCGGGCGGACAGTGGCGGCGGCGGGCGGACAGTGGCGGCGGCGGGCGGACAGTGGCGGCGGCGGGCGAACAGTGGCGGCGGCGGGCGGACAGTGGAGGCGGCGGGCGGACAGTGGAGGCGGCGGGCGGACAGTGGAGGCGGCGGGCGGACAGTGGAGGCGGCGGGCGGACAGTGGAGGCGGCGGGCGGACAGTGGCGGCGGCGGGCGGACAGTGGCGGCGGCGGGCGGACAGTGGCGGCGGCGGGCGGACAGTGGCGGCGGCGGGCGGACAGTGGAGGCGGCGGGCGGACAGTGGAGGCGGCGGGCGGACAGTGGAGGCGGCGGGCGGACAGTGGAGGCGGCGGGCGGACAGTGGAGGCGGCGGGCGGACAGTGGTGGCGGCGGGCGGACAGTGGTGGCGGCGGGCGGACAGTGGTGGCGGCGGGCGGACAGTGGTGGCGGTGGCGGACAGTGGCGGCGGTGGCGGACAGTGACGGCGGTGGCGGACAATGGCGGCGGTGGCGGACAGTGGCGGCGGTGGCGGACAGTGGCGGCGGTGGCGGACACTGGCGGCTGTGTCTGGCGGGCGGTGGCGGGGTCTGTGATGAGTGGTGGCGGCTGGCGGTGGTGGGTGGTGGCGGCGGTGGTGGTGGGTGGTGGTGGCGGGCGGCGGCGGCGGTGGTGGTGGTGGTGGTGGTGGTGGCGGCGGTGGTGGCGGTGGTGGTGGTGGTGGTGGCGGCGGGTGGTGGTGGGTGGTGGCGGCGGGTGGTGGTGGGTGGTGGCGGCTGTGGTGGGTGGTGGCGGGCGGTGGCGGGCGGTGGGGCGGCGGCGGCTGTGGTGGGTGGTGACGATCGGCGGTGGGGGGGGGGGGGGCTGGTGACGGCTTGCGGTGGCGACTGTGGCAACGGGCGGTGACTGCTGATAGCGGGCGGTGGTGGCGGCTGGTGGCAGGTGGTGGTGGCGGTGGTGGCGGCTGGTGGTGGCGGCTGGTGGTGGTGGCAGCTGGTGGCGGTGATGGCGGCTGGTGGTGGTGGCAGCTGGTGGCGGTGATGGCGGCTGGTGGTGGTGGTGGTGGCGGCTGGTGGTGGTGGCAGCTGGTGGCGGTGATGGCGGCTGGTGGTGGTGGTGGTGGTGATGGCGGCTGGTGGCGGGCGGTGGCGGCTTGTGGCGGCTGGTGGTGGCGGCGGTGGTGGGTGGTGGTGGTGGTGGTGGTGGGTGGTGGTGCCGGCTGTGGTGGGTGGTGGCGGTGGTGTCGGCGGCGGCTGTGGTGGGTGGTGGCGGCGGCGGCGGTGATGGGTGGTGGCGGCGGCGGTGGTGGTGGGTGGTGGTGGCGGCGGCGGTGATGGGTGGTGGCGGCGGTGGTGGTGGTGGCGGCGGCGGTGGTGGTGGTGTGGGTGGTGGTGGTGGGTGGTGGCGGCGGGTGGCGGTGGTGGGTGGCGGGTGGCGGCTGGTGGTGGGTGGTGGCGGCGGGTGGTGAGTGGCGGTGGTGGGTGGCGGTGGCTGGTGGCGGGTGGTGGTGGGTGGCGGTGGCTGGTGGCGGTGGCTGGTGGCGGGTGGCGGCTGGTGGTGGGTGGTGGCGGCTGGTGGTGGGTGGTGGCGGCTGGTGGTGGGTGGTGGCGGGTGGCGGCTGGTGGTGGGTGGTGGCGGGTGGCGGCTGGTGGTGGGTGGTGGCGGGTGGCGGCTGGTGGTGGGTGGTGGCGGGTGGCGGCTGGTGGTGGGTGGTGGCGGGTGGCGGTGGTGGTGGGGTGGTGGCGGGTGGCGGTGGTGGGTGGTGGGTGGTGGTGCCGGCTGTGGTGGGTGGTGGCGGTGGTGTCGGCGGCGGCTGTGGTGGGTGGTGGCGGCGGCGGCGGTGATGGGTGGTGGCGGCGGCGGTGGTGGTGGGTGGTGGTGGCGGCGGCGGTGATGGGTGGTGGCGGCGGTGGTGGTGGGTGGTGGTGGGTGGTGGTGGTGGGTGGTGGTGGGCGGGTGGTGGTGGTGGGTGGCGGGTGGCGGCTGGTGGTGGGTGGTGGCGGCGGGTGGTGGCGGGTGGCGGTGGTGAGTGGCGGTGGTGGGTGGCGGTGGCTGGTGGCGGGTGGTGGTGGGTGGCGGTGGCTGGTGGCGGGTGGCGGTGGCTGGTGGCGGGTGGCGGCTGGTGGTGGGTGGTGGCGGCTGGTGGTGGGGTGGTGGCGGGTGGCGGGTGGCGGTGGTGGGTGGTGGCGGGTGGGGTGGCGGGTGGCGGGTGGTGGCTGGTGGCGGCTGGTGGGTGGTGGCTGGTGGTGGGTGGTGGCGGGTGGCGGCTGGTGGTGGGTGGTGGTGGTGGTGGTGGCGGGGTGGTGGTGGGCGGCGGCTGGTGGTGGGTGGTGGCGGTGGTGTCGGCGGCGGCTGTGGTGGGTGGTGGCGGCGGCGGTGGCGGCGGTGATGGGTGGTGGCGGCGGCGGTGGTGGTGGTGGTGGTGGTGGCGGCGGCGGTGATGGGTGGTGGCGGCGGTGGTGGTGGGTGGGTGGTGGCGGCGGCGGCTGGTGGTGGTGGGTGGTGGTGGTGGGTGGTGGCGGCGGGTGGCGGTGGTGGGTGGCGGGTGGCGGCTGGTGGTGGGTGGTGGCGGCGGGTGGTGAGTGGCGGTGGTGGGTGGCGGTGGCTGGTGGCGGGTGGTGGTGGGTGGCG